GTATCTGCATCAGTATAAATCTCTTTAAAAATATCATAGGTTGCTTAGAAAAATCATTTAAGCACAGGTTTGCTTGCATGTGCAAAAACAAATGTGACATGTAAACATTCACCAGAGATGAAAATGGTTTGTCCATGAATAATTAGTCTTAAATATTATACACAAATCACATAATTAGAAAGTTGAAGAGAAATAAAACCCATAATAAGATCAGCATAAAACTTAATTACCAATTAGTCTCCCGTTTTCACTTACTTGTTTTGGCTATGTTCAATGTTGTTTTGAGGACAGACTTAATGAAATTTGTCTGGTTTTGTGTAAATTCAAAGACTTCATGAAAAAAGAAACTAAGCGTAGTTTTATTATAAAATCGAAATGAGGAATGTATATGCTACACACTGACTATTTTCATCCTACTGACAAAACTGGTGATAAATTGACATTAAATAAACACAAAAAGCAGATAGTGTGACATAAAATTAAACTGAATCAACATGAGATTAATTGGATTTTCGCCATTCATTCAATGTTAATTCAATATGCAAAGCCATGTTGAATCTACAACTTCCTCTGTGAACCAGTGTCACCTCCCAACAGAGATTAACATCGATTCGGTGTTTATTCAGTGTCAATCTGCTGTCTGGGTTGCCAGCTAACCAGATTACTTTGACATTTAGCAAATAACATTTGCCTTATCCGGTTAAACTATCTAGACTGAAAATATTATTTGACCTGATCCAAGTGTTAGCTAAAACAACTGCTAAATGATAAAGTAACTGTAAACTTTGAAAACAGCATTAACAGCCAAGGAAAGTGTTCAGTGAAAGTCCTCATTACTTAGCGAATTAAATAATAATGATAATTAAAGAATTATAATTTTCATATATGAGCATATTTCATGTAGATAGTAAACATCCATCCATCCATCCATCCATCCATCCATCCTTTTCCCAGACCCCTTTCCAAGTACAGGGTTCCAAGCCTATTCCAGGACTCTGAGGGCATTAGGGAGAACGCCAGTCCATCACAGAGAACACACACAGTCTTGCACAATGGGCAATTTAAAGATGCCAGTACACAAAACTGCATGTTTTTGGACAGCAGGAGAAAATTAGATCAGCTCGAGGAAATACATCTGAGCAAAGGGAGAACCAAGCTGAGTACTGGCAGAGCAGCGGTAGGGCTCAGGCACCCAAATATTAAATACTGTGTTTAAGCTACTATTCATCCAGTATTTTGGTGATCATTTTTATAAAACTCTATAAAGCAGAAATTATTACAGTCTTGGATTCACCCAAAACTAAAAAATAAACTTTTCAAATTTCCTTTCACCGATGAAATTATAGAAGTGTCACTGTTGGTATTTTCGTAATGGAGAGAATCTCTATACGTCATTGTGTAACTTGATACTTTCTTGTTTATGGTCTATTCTAAAGTAAGTATGCTCAGGGCCAACAGCTGAAGTTGTAGGTCAACTGTATTTTAAGATGCTGCGAAGCAAGAAAATAAATATGATAGAAAAAATAATAACTTCAAGAGGGTTTCGTTTTATTTATTTTTTTCTCAGAAATCCATAGAGAGAACGTTATTTTCCTGTAATTGTGCTGGACGGGGGAGTCTACGTTGATGAAGGCCTCTCTTTCAGTGGTTACAGCTGAGGGATAGGGTTATTCTCCTGTGTTTGCTGGGAGCCACAGCTCAGTATCTCAATGGGGTTCACATAGCCTCAAATGTACAGTAAGTTAGTCTGAATTAGCTGGGAAATGTCATAAATGATTTGTTACTTTTGGGGATTTTGATGGGATTGAATGCCACAGTGCATAGTTACCACATCCATCCATTTTCCAACCACTTGTCCCGAGCAGGGCTCCCGAGAGTTGCTTGCCATGAAATAATAACAATAAAAAAAAAATATATATATATCCTTCATTATTTAGCTCTTAATTAAAGTTCTCCCCGTGATTTGTGGTTGTGGTGAGTGTGTAACACTGGCAGGCTGCTGTGTTTCATGGTGCCTTGAAACTCAAGGCCCACTTGTTTAACTACTGCAGTTACTGTAGGTATCACACGACACAAGATCATTATCTGTAAGGTAAGTGCCAGTGACTGAGTGTCTGTTTACTGTTCACCTAAGTGTATCTGCAAATGGCTGCAATAAAAAATGGTGATGTTTACGGACAGGAATAGCTCTAGGATGGTACTTAAGGTAGGAAAAAATTAGGAGACAAGGACTGAGTGAAGGACCTTCCCACCTTGTTGTTTGCTATGTCGGTGTGTCTGCCTATGTATTTAAATGCAGGCTTGAAAAATAGGCCTAATGTGCAATAGCATCTTTTTATATGTTGAATATTATTATTTATATTTATTTTTTTCAAGTACATTTACTGGCCCAAATTGCAAAATGTGGGCCACCAATAAATAAAGTTCATGACAAGGCCCACACCAGAGGAAATTTGATGCGGAGGGGGGGGCTTGAGGGATGTTGGGTAAGTTGATGATCTGTAACCATGCCCCTGGGAGAGACCCGGCTTATTTGTCTTAGGATGAACACCTTCAATAAAAAATTAAATTAAAATAAAAGACGATGTCCTTGGTCCTTGGTGGGTGGGGGGGCACAATGGCTCATTTGGCAGGGGCATCGCCCGTGAATGCCCCCCATGATGTCATCCCTGGCTCATGGAGAGCCCACAAGGGACCCTCACAATCATTAATAAGCAGTTACACTTTCAGTTTGAAGGGCGGGGCCAGCCTGCAAATAACTGTAACAGAAGCCCCCCCCTCCGCCCCCCACTCGCTTTGACCTCTTGATCGTCAGAGCACACAGCACACAATGTTTAATTCACTGTATTTTGTCAATAAGCCATTTTCTTTCCAATACAGCCTTCATGGTCGAATTCTCTCGCCTTAACGTCGTGAACGGCATCTCTGCTGAATTAACCCTCGATCGCTGCGTTTCCCTCCCTGTCCTCGTAATTGTGAACAGTGTGACTCGCTTCCACACCTTCAGCTGTTTTCCCAGCCGGGGCCTGAGGTCCCGTTCGAAGAGACGCCATTACAGTACATTTCCTGTTGGACGGCTGCAGGATTGCATATCTGTCTCATCTCCGTGCTGCGGTGGGTCTTGTTGCAGCTGAGTGAGCGATATCTGTTATTGGGTTGTGTTCCTCTCTGCCGACAGTTCTGGGAAGAAGAAAAAAAAATCCCAATTCATACAGCATCCAAGGACATGAAGTAATATCATAATAGTCTGTACAGCACGGAAAATGTTTTGCTCACTGAAGCTATCCAACTGGTGAACACAGCTGTGCATCACTCTGGCGTCCTTGGGATGTGTCCTTCTCTCTGAAGCTGATTGTAAGCACTCTACAGCATCTCCAATTCTATGGTTAAACGGATCGTATTTCTTAACGTTATTGTAGGATTTGTTAGGGTGATCGTGCTAGCTCAGAAATAGCATGTTATGTACAAGCATCACACTAAGCATGATTTCTAGACAGTTTACTTTCCTCAACCTATGAAAAAGACATAGTAAGCATGTCAACAAGATCATTATTTTTAAGGTATGTAATACACTATATACAGTAAATATGAAAATGGGCAGATATTTGATTATTTTTTGGAAATGGCTGTTCATCCATCTATCCATCTTCCAAATGCTTTTCCAGTACAGGATCACAGTAAGTCTGGAGCCTATCCTAGGAAAAACAAGGTACAAATTAGGGGATGCCCTGGACAAGATGCCAGAACATAATGCTGATATTTATTGGTAGTATGTACATAATTCTTTATCGACTCACATTTATTTCTGTGTGTTATGCTTGTCAAAAATCAGCTATATTTAAAAATGAGCTTCACAAACTAAAGGGTTGCAAATTACTTTTTGAGTTTTACAAAGTCAGAGTTCTTTTAGTCCGTTTGAGAGCATTTTTTTCAATGGGGCAAGTAAAACAGGATAAGATGCAGATTCAGCTGTGACTCTGTGTAGCCCGAGGTGTTAAATAAATATGAAATGTGACAGTAACTAAATTGAAAAATGGCAGCACACGAGAGAATGCATCTCTGTTCTGATTTTTCCTCCCCTACCATTATTTTGCTCATTTTTTCATTTGCGTATCTGTTTATTCCTGTCACAATGTGTAATTCTTGCATTTTGCTGTATGATTCGATAAATAGGGGTCCCACAGGATCAGCAATTGCCAAATCATTTTCCGACACCTCACCAAAGGAATTTCAGTGAAAGATCTCTATTACATCATTGCCAGGTAATGACTTTGAAACAACAAAAATTCCTCACTGAGTGTCAAGTCAAGGCTTTGCTTCACAGTCAAGTCTCACTCATTTTTCATTTTAATTGTATTCCTTTCTGCCTACGCGTCGATTTATAGCTACCAGTCGGGGACATTTTGATACGTATTTGTGTGAATGTATGTGTTTTTGCACAGCAGATGTGTTGTATAGCAACATGAATCATTTTTAATCTCCCCATTAAGCAAAGACGCAGTAAAGTATGGGCAACATTTCCTCAGCTACATCAAAAGGACGGGGGAAATTCCGGTTGATCTTTACGAGGATGGCATTTGCATGGAGGCCTGGCATTGACCCCCCCCCCATCTCACATCCTGTGAGCCAGCGAAGCTGAAGACGCAAGCTTGAGGGAGACGGAACATTCCCACCGTGCACGTTTCCGAGGGCTTATCCTAGTGATCGGATTTGGGGGAGGCTGGACATGAATCGGATCTCTGCTGCCTACGGTTTACAATCCCATGTGGTGAAATGTGTTGCAGGAACGCCATGATGTCGGGGGGGGCATCGTACCCGTCGGCTTCCTCTTTGAGCTGGACCCCTAGGTGGTGCGGAGCTGCATCGATTTTCCTAAACGTGCGATTTAGGTTTGTCGCGTCTGAGCACCTGGATTCTCTACTGGGAGCAGGTGTCGCACACAAACGGCTGCTACCGGCGTCTTCCCCGTCACACCCTACGGAAAAGGAAAGGCCTCCGAACACACATGCAGACCATATGCACACACACACCTGTAAATCCCACATCATCTGCTTCGACACGGACGCACGTGTCCCATCTTACTAGACCTGTTGCGGATTCATTTATGGCATCTTCCTCTCGTGCATTCATGAAACTGAGCTTACGGATGAGTAACAGGTAAGGAAAATGACTGAAAGGCAAAGGAGGCGAACAGTTGGCAGACTCTGAGGGATTAAAGTGTTCTGCAGTACACAAGAAGGTGGCATTGGCACTGGGTGGCTTTGTGGCACTTAGCAGGTGGCGCTGATGCCCAGGGATTTGAATCCTGCCTCGGGGTTTCTGTGTGGAGTGTGTCTGTGCCTGCACGTATTTCCTACCGTAGTCCAAAAACATGTTTTTCGCCGGGCCTGTCTCTAAATTGCCCGTCGAGTGTGATTTTGTGTGTTTGAGTGCATACCCAGTGATGGCCTTCCCCGTGCTCCGTGGGATTGTCTCCAGGCTGAGCATGACCTTGTACTGGATAAGCGGTTATGGAAAGCGGACGGACAGAAGGAGGCGGGTGAAGCGGCACCAGAGTATGAGGAAACAGGATATTTAGTAGGCAGTCTATTTTGCCTCTCTACCTATCATAATTCCCAGTTCTGCTCATACAGCGGTAGCCCTGCTATTGTAGAATTTTGAAGATAAAAACCAGCAGACATGGAATGCAACGTGGTGATGGGATATGGTGCGGATACCACAGAGAAACTAAAGCCATTGAAGAAAAACGGGGGAGTGTGGAGGGCAGAGTGTGGGGTTTAATCACTTCAGGGTTCAGTCTCACTCAGACACACATATGACACACAAGCCCAGCTGGGGGCAGATTCCATCATCCTGACAGGGCGACTCCAAGGGCCACATTCGGAACACCAAGGGCCGTGAACAACGTTCCCGGGTGTATCAGCGCTAAGGGCAGCCGCACGTGCTCAGACGCACACACACACGCACACTGGCCGGTATGAACAAGTATTTGTATCACGGTATTTTTTAAGGTTCTGGCAGTTTCACAGTATATCACAGTATTTTATTCACCTGTACCATGGCAACCTTTTTAATGAAATGCCTCTACAAATCTTTTTAAAAAGCTGTGTTTGTATTAATTAGGCTATTATATATATAAAAATACATTTAGCTTCATAGTATAACCAACATATTTTATTAATAATATTATGTCATTGATGTATATTCAGCTTGATAGCAACGTTATATTGATAACTGTGTACTTAGCGCAGTAAGAACTGTTTCACTGACATATTTTATTAAATTAATCATGTATATTTACGTAGATAGTGACATGTTTTATTAATTTAAACTATACATTTAGTTCCAAAGAGGCATGATTTATTTATTATTACCGTATAGTTAGCTTGGTAACAACATATCTGCTTAACCGACATGATTTTAATAATTATTGCTAACTAAAAGTTGGCTATCATAAATAATGTTACAAGACATTTTATTTACAGTACCAGTCAAAAGTCTGGACACACCAAGCCACCAACAAAAGAGAGTGATAGAGTCGCATCACATGACCTGTGCACCTTACCTAAACAGGCAGACTAGAGAGTGAAGGAAAAGTGGAACGTCCTGCAGGACAGCTGGAAAAGCATTCCAGCGAGCTGTAGAGGCTCAACCAATCAATCAACTGATCTACATCTATCTATCTATCTATCTATCTATCTATCTATCTATCTATCTATCTATCTATCTATCTATCTATCTATCTGTCTAATCATCATTTCTTAAAACTTATTCATTTGAAACCTTAACCTCTGAGCTGTGTGTGTGTGTTTGCCTTCCTTCCATAACATAAGCACGTTTTTCCACGCTGCATTTCCATTTTGTATTTTTGCATAATTTATTTGCTTTATTTTTCATTTTGCTTTGTAGTATGCAGAACATCACACATCTGATATCACATTTTGCGGCCGGTGATAATTGTTTACGACTCTTCGCACGTTCGCCTTCAGAGGAGCGGCTCGCTCACCGGGTCTTGTCTCGAAAGCTGCCCGGGAAGTCACGCCAAGGCAATCACTCGCATGCTGAATAGACGCACCGAGCGGGACGCGAGGGAGCAGCGAGGGTGTTCGATGCAGATGGAGGATGGTGTCGGGAAATGCGCTATTAATCAGGCATAAATTACCCCATCGGTTGGTTCAGGGGTGACACGGAAGATGCAAAATGCTAACAAGCTAGCATGAAGGCAGATTGCTATTCCACCCGACAGATTCACTCTAAGGGAAGACCACGTGTCCCAAGGGTTGCGATATTGCTTACATGGTTCATGAGGATCCAAAGAAGTGTTTCGAGATTCAATGCTTGGATGTCATTATAACAGCCGCAATGTTTCCAGCCTGTTGACAAATTAGTCCAGGTGTTTTGTGCCAAAAAAAATATAGTCAAATGGGTTCATAGAACTGAAGCTGAAACTGCATAAATAGAATTATTATTGACGTATTGAGGTCATGTTTTGTTGTGCGGGAAAGAATAGTCGTGATTATTGTAAACAGTTCTGAAACGGAATAGACAATAAGGTTTTCATTAAATTGTGTTGTGGCAGTTAGGCAATTTTTTGCTATTAATGCTCCTTTTAAAATGCATGTTAAATGGAAATATTAAAGTTTATTGATGTAAAACTGTGCCATGATAACATACTTAGTTCAAGACATTGAGAGGACTCGTATTAAGATCGAAGCAGGAATATAGATAAATGAAACTGAAATTAAACTGAATGCCTATCAACACTGAGCACGGAACAATGCATATTAAAGATAGCAATGTCACTGCTTTTTTTTGCCTGTTTTGAACCAATGGCAGTAAGACAAATTATCATTTGCTTCTGGAACTGACCATATTGAATTTGACTTTGTCAGCAATTTTAATTTACTTCCTGTTTCACGAGTTGCCCTGATTTATGGGCAGATATGGTATTAAATAGGATTTTCTCCCACGGAGCTTGGACAATACATTGGGTGCAGCCCAGAACAAAGGGCCATTAATCCAGTTTTTGGCATTAGATAATGTGGCAGCAATGGTCCCTGATCCCTCCCTAAGTGCTGCAAAGTCAAATACGATGCTGGGGGCTGCAGTTTGGACCTTTACAGATGTTTGCTTGAGAAATCTTGCCATTTACCGGTAATATTCTTTGGTCGTAAATCTACGCGCATGTATATACCTGTACGATTTTTATAATTTTCTTTCTTTTTTTCCCATGAAAAGCACAACATAACTGCAATTAACATTGAAAATGTATCGCTTGTGTCGTGCAAATGCTCACTGCGCCATTAATATGAGTTGGAATGCGTCATGTGGCTGATTACACTTCAAATTGATAAAATGAACTTGCACACAGAGCGATTTCCCAGCATGCCCCCTTACAAAGGGGGGGGGGGGCGGGAGAGAGAAACAACAGACAGGTGCCGTAACTAGATTTCACCCTTTTTTTAACTCGACAAATTTGATTTAGTATTTGCTCAGAAAAATAGGTTTGGCATTGATTCAAACATTTATTATTTAAATTAATTTAAATTTCTATTGCTGCCAGAGGCCTTGAGCTTTCAGCGTGAGCGTAGCAGATTTAAAGCCGGCTTGTTTATCATATTCGAACATGGGGGGAGTGAGCTGAGCTTTTCTCTATTCATGTTCCTTTCATTTTTGGGACGGTCTGCATATTGTAGCAGGTCTCCTTAAGGGTCCAAAATCAGTCTCATTCTGATTCTAGGCCAATTGTTTATTATTATTACAAATATAATAATAATAACAAATTGGGAGGCAGCGTGTGGCTCAATGAGTTACAATGCTGTGACTGTGTTGGGAAGGTTGTCAGTTCAAATCTCAAAGTCAGCAGAGTGATTTCATTCACAATCAGGCCCCTGAGTGAGGCCCTTAGAGGCCCTTAACCTCCAATTGCTCTACGGACCGTCAGACCCTATTTCTCAAATATGTATTTTGCTTTGAATAAAAGCTTTTGCTAAATAAATAAAATATGAAAATGTCTAATAATTACATAATAATTATGGTCTATGTTCATCTGACCACCTATTGTCCAGCCACTTATCATTAATAATTATTAATAATGCCCCTGCTTCAGGGTTATGGGTAATAATGTATCGTAACCTTGCAAGAAGTCGTGTAGCTCCCTGTCAGCAAAAACCTCGTCTACTCCACAAGCATCTAAGGAAATAAATAAATAATCCAGCTTACTGAAAAATGGAATTTGGAGACACTTGAATCAGAAATGTATTTTTAGGCAGCCACATGCCCATTAATTGCAACACGCTTGGGACAGAGAAGGGGACATAGACCATAATCGCATTCCTGTCACGATGTCACTGGATTTACTCATTTAGCTGCGAGTCGGCTGTTTTTACCTGCAGGAGACTGATGTCAAATTGAGAAACAGCACTTGCACGCCGGCCGCCAGGTCCTTAATAACCTTGCGTGGGTATGAGACAGGTTAAGTGTGTCGGACTCTGGCTAGGAGTAGAAGGAGTGACGCCATCATTGTTAATTGTGTCGTGGGCCGCCCCATGCTTACTGATTTTTTTAGCTGCCAGTCTCTTTTGCCTGCCTACGGAAGCCCAGCATTAACCTACCGCTCTCTCACTGAGCTGGCCTTCGGAGAAATCCCCACTTATGGGAGCTTTACGCAAAAATGTTCTGAGGGCAGAAGAATAAATGATTGGTTCAGAGAGATAACCAATCAGATTGTCGAGGAGGTGGGACCAGCCAATCAGATGTCTTGGGCCTGTCTCCTTTAGTCTGATGGGTTATCTCTCTGAACCAGTCATTTTTTCTTCTGCCCTCAGAACATTTTTGTGTAAGTAAAATTCCCACAAGTGAAATCCCCCACGTCTGTTGCCATTAGCACTCACTCCTTTTCAGACGGAACGTGTCAGTTGAAACGATAAGTCCCGTTACATTTCTGGTACGTGTATGTAAGAGGAATATGTGTCAAGGAGATGCAGTCACATACTAAGCCTGGGGTACGTACTGTACCTTATTTGCATGTGACGCCCACTTCAGAATTTGCAGAAGTCGTCTCATACAATGATATGGAAGGGGCAGTGAGGCAGGAACCGGCACCAGGAAAAACAAACAAGTAAAGAGAAAATCAGAGAAATACTATGTCTGGTCTCAGGCATACAACACAACATTTACTGAGTGAAAAGGACAAAAAATAGAATGCCGTGACTGCAAGGAATAAATCATGCACCCCAATAATTACAATAATGTCAGGAACAAATTCTTATTCTTATTCATGACAAAGGGGCTTGAATATTGAGCTCGGTGTCTATTCTTCTGATATAGCGAACAGGCTGCTCCTTTTAAAATTGATCGGTGACAATGGCTTTATCAGGGGTATAACAGGCTTAAATAATTGAATATCGACGTTGGAAGTTCGCATAAGGCCAAAAAGAATTCTTTAACTCCAGGAAACAAACAAACAAAAAAAAACCTGAAATGGTCATTTTAAAAAAGGAGACTGTAAAAAATTATATGGAATCCTCGATTTGTTTTAAACAAATAAAAGCAATTGATTAAAAATGCTGATATCAACGAGATGGATGTGTTTTTTTTTTTTTTTACTTATTTTAAATTCATAGCTGTAAATTCATCAGATCTTTCAATAGCTGTAGCAAGAGGAGTTGGTGTTAAACCATGCTAGAATATGATCACCCTCGTGGATTTCACCTCACAGGTAATGATGTACAGTGATGCTTGAATGATAGGGGAAGTGTGATCTCATTGCCTAGCAACGGTATGGCTGCTTCTCCTCTTGCTCCCTCTCAGTTCAAAGGGCTCTAAATATCTGAATATCATCTGTGACAGCAGACTAAATGTCCACAAAATTATGATAATAAGTGGAAAAATGGGTTGGTATAAAGGGACAACATCACTCTCCAAGTGAAAAGAGGCAGCTGTGTGTAAATGAGATTATTATTATATTGTTAAATCACTCATGGAAGCCTAACAAGGAGCAATAAAGGAAGATTTTTTGAATTAATAATTTAATTTGTTCCTTCATTTTTCCTGCTTATCGTTAGGTTTACTTAAATGTTTAACACATCGCTATCCACTAAGTCGTGAGGGCAATCACAAGAACTCCACAACTCATTACTGCTGTTTCTCAGCCATACTTGAAATATGTGCATTTGTAATTAAATTATCCCTTTCATCTCCTGCCACTTCACACCCTTGCTGCAGCCAAACGCAAATGAAAAAAAGAATGTTTTCCTAAATCAAAACCCCAGGAGATGCACTAGGTAGGAAATAATCTGAGACAGCATTGTTACTTTTGAACTCTTCAGGAAGTCAGTTGGAATCTAACAGAACCTGACCAGTGCTCTTCTGTCGGTTCTTTGTGGCTGGAACCCGAATGGAAACTCAAATGCTGCACCGTAGAAACCTCCGTGTCTGTCAGCTGGCTGGTGATCACTTCCGACAGGAAGGTGGCGTGCACACTATAGGATTATGACATTAACCGCTGTTCGTTCAGATCATTCGGACATGAAGTCTGTAGACTTGTTCATCGTGGCAAAAAGTGTCAGGCTGTGTTGCAGCAGTAAGAAATAACAACACATGATAATGTCTCCTAAAATCTAATTCTCACCCCCAGAAGAGATCTGTTACACCATGGAACTGTAGCTATTGAGCATTTAGTTGATGACCAACACAAAGAATAAATATGATTGAAATTCTATCAATGCAAATTTATGATGGCATTACTTTCCTGTTTTGCAAACATTTAAATACATCAACAGTATAGTTTGCACCCTCATCAATATGTGGCATTAGAAAGTACTCTGGAAATATTGTTGCATGCTTTTGTCATTTGTTACATTTAAGTGTTTAGGAGATGCTTTCATCCAAAGCCATGTTTAAATGGGGATTAGAGAGTAGAGTCTGCCAGCGTCCAGTGAACATTAGGGGTTAAAGGCCTTGCTCAGGAACCCAGTGGTAATATAGTTATACTACCAGCCATGAGATCTCAGCCCACGACTTCACAGATATGTGCATGGATCACTAACCTGCTGAGGTATATGTCACCCCATTTAAAAATAATTAAAACCTTTTATCCAGTGGGCAGTTTATTAGGTATACCTTCTTGTTAACACAAACAGTCTGTTCCTCCAAGCACTGAGTCATTAAAGCTAACTGGATATGACAAGTGTAAATACA